TCCATAAGAGCTAGCAGGGTATAATAAGACAAAATATTATACTTACCACCATTATCAGTAAATTCTCGTGGCAATGTTGAAATAAAGCTCAACAGTATCTCAAGAGGAACATCAGTAGCATACATCAAGGAAGCAGCGGCTTTAAGGACTTTCCCACAGACTGGTGATTACAGTAAAGGTGTCACAACAGTTCTACCATAGTTGCACTTTATATGTAATTAGAGAAGGTTATCAAAAATCAAAACAGATAAACAATTAGTGACCTTGAACACGGTAATTGGGATTAAAATGTTGTTTGCTGCTTTGAATGATAAATCTCAGAACCTCCAGTAACTCTATTTTATTATCCAAAAAAGATCTCTCTGGAGAAGATTCCTGTGGGGCCTTATCAGGGGAAGCATCTTTGTACCATTCAGCATCATAGGTGTCATCCTTTCTAATTCCACAAGCAGCTGAAGCAATGCATTCTGCAAGACCCATTAATCCAGCTCTACCAAAAGACTGCCTTTTAGCAAGAGATGCTAAATTGATCAAAAAGGCAATCCATCTCCTGCAAACAAATGATTTCACTATCAAATACTACTGACAGAAGCTTATCTGGTTTGTAAAAAGGAAAACAGATGAAGTTCAAGAAGGAACAAATTTAAAGATGATATATACAAAATCCAGTATGCTATATACATGAAATCCATCATGTAATTTTGGCTTACCTCGCATCTAGGTAGCTTGCATAGTGAAGTAAAAATTGGGCCGCACTCTCAATTGCTTTTGAAGAATAAACTCCTTTTACACCTAAAAGAGACAAATAAAACACCCTGAGATATTCTGTCAACCTACATCAAATGAAATTCCATCACCTAAGATCAATCAAATGAAAGAAACTCCTGAGCAGTGAGCACAAATTTCTCTTCTTGGTACTACTAACTCTAAATCATTCAGTCCCAGCACACAATAAGATAGAATAAAGTATGCTTGAAAAGTGAATTCAGCAATGAATGAACAGATGGACAACAAACCAAAATCACTGTGGTGAACTGGATCATTCAAAGCTTCCATAAATGGACCAAGAACAAAACTTTCAGGTATTGATTTTGCACAGGCTCCATACTTTATCCATTCAATGCCAAGAAATGAGTGCATGATCATGCACCTAACTGCATTAGACAAAAGGAAAGGAGAACAGAAAAAATAATTATTCATGGAATCTTAAAAAAAAACGCAGAGAACTATATCAGATAGCTTAAAATAATTTAGCTCAGTCCCTGATAGAATTGATTAGCCTAGCCAAGTGGGTCAATAAGCCATCAATACCTTGGGGATTATCATGACAAAAGCCTCGTTCCCACAATATTGATAACCAACTGAAAACTTCATTGAAAGTTTCCATCTGAGTTTGTTGAGGACCTCTGCTAATAGCACTTACAAAGTTATCATGTGAGAGAGAAAACTGAAGCAACAAAGTTATCTGCATGAAGTCAAAACAGTTTATATAGGCTGTATAGAACTAATGACCCAAAAAATTTGCAAGGTATCAACAGAATATAAGTAAACACAATATATACAGAGCAGTTGAGAGTAATCTTTAAGATCAACAAATAAAGGCCGCATGGCTTTGAAGATTAAACAAATTTTGCAGGGTAAAAACTAAAAAGAGCAAGGAAATAAGTCAATATATAAAATAGCAGAGCATCTTCTTTCTATTAACAAATAAAAGCTGTTTCCATTTCGGAAACCAACCAATCCTCCAAGGCAACAATTTTGGGAGTTTATCTTTTTACTAGTAATTTGCAGCAATTTCAAGAGAGAAAACCTTCAGAACAAAGTTGGGGACATAGACCTCAATTGAAATTTGACCATAATCACCAATAAAATAAACGGAATATGATTAACATTGTAGAGATGAGATCTTTTTCCAGTCGTAAAAAGCAGCTCAGTATTAACAATTACATTAAGTGTGATTGCGCACTTGACATTTAATTCATTATGCTATTCAACCAAAGTTGGTCTTCCAATGATTCAGAAATTTGATTAAAATAATGAAAAATGAAGTCAATCGTGAATGGCAATAAAAGTTAGCTATGGAAACAAGAGCCAAGAATTCATGAATAGGTTAGTTACATTAGTATCAAAGGTCACCTTATAATGAGAGTTTATTTTACCTCTGTTGGAAAGTATAACTGTATAAGTAATTCATATTGATTCTATAATAGAACCAGCTAAAATCATATCTTACTACTGTCATAAGCACAAGTACCTGGTGATTCCAAGCAGCATCTACGAGGTGCGTACCATACTCGTCAAGCATTTCATATAAAAGTAAGAACGCCTCCCACTGCTGCCTACTGTTAAAGCCCGATTCAGCTACACTGCATAGTTTTCCTACACCTAGTGACTTAGCTTCCTTGTCAGCCCAGAGCTCCCTCTTTGTCATGCCATGTCCTGGATGTTTCCTTTGCAGTTTATCCTCTGAAAAGCCAGAGTTGTATTGACTTCCACCACTTGCGCATAGTACTCTTTTCAATATGTGTAACGATTGCTTCCTCACTAAGCTCTCCTTATCAACCTGGCAAGACACCAGCAAAGAACAACAACAAAAACAAACAAAAACCTGATTATTGTACATTTATCAACCAATCAAAATGAAGCAGCAACCGGAAAAGAAATTAGATCAAGTACCAAGCCTCTTTTAATTTCATTCCAAAACTCTTTTTCAGTTTTGATGTCAAATTCTTCTCCATCACTCATGTAACATTTTCCTGAAATATCTGAACAAGAGAAAAAAGACAAATACAGAGAGAGTACACCATATGCATCTCTCCTCTCTAAGGATCCCAGAGAGAACAGTGCTCTGCAGCATGCCCAAATTTCCTTAAAGAAAGAATTCCTGGACACAAATGTTAAATAGTGATGAATGTTAAATTCCATTTAAAGCTAAAAAAATTAAGGACACATCATGCAAACATCTACCTGGTGAATATGTGTGGGTTCCCATGAATTGAGATTTCAAAGGAGTAGTTAGCAATGAATGCTTTAAAAATGATTGGGAGTAGAAAGCCAATTGCACAGGAACGATGTTCCAAACTTTGCAAGAGCAACTTTTTAGTCATACTACATATATCCCAAAGCAAATTAGAAGCACACTTTTCAGCATGCCAGCATCCATTAACCAATTCTGGGGCTGGAGCTGCCTGAAGGCTTTGTAGAGCAGCATCAAGTATCAAACTTAAAACATGGCATGATAGTGGCAATGGGAAAGCCCCGGATGGAGAAATGTCATGGTCTTTATCCACCATATTCAAATTGTTTACTTTCACACCCCATTCAGTGGCATCTAACTCTTCCTTTTCAATTGCACCAGCTGAAATACGAAGAGAGCTTAGGAAAAAAGGAACCAAACTTGCTTCCAAAAGCTCCCAGGAATTGGTCTTTGCCACAATATCAAAGAATAAGTCTGCAATCTAAAGATCAACAACATACATTTTAACAAACAAAGCAATGAGAAAAAAGTAGACTTGAATTAGATGTTGAACCACCATACAAAAGTCACAATGTCACATGCCAGCAGCCAACCATTTATACCTGGTTAAGAAACTCACGGTCAAACTCAGGTCCCATTGTCATTAGTGGGATAAAACCCTTCCATATAAATGATTGCAAAGCTTCTTGATTAGCCCCTGCATGGAAATTTCATTCAGTAGTCAGATGGAGAATGAATTACGAATTAAAAACTACAAAAAGCCTATCCAATTTAGTTAACAATAATCCCCAAAAAAGCTAGCAGCCACTGGAATAATCTCCTATCAATCTGTCTGAAAAAAGGATTGACAGCCAGTCTGCCACCTTTTTGATAGCTTGGGTGCTAAGATTCTGAAAAATATCAGCTGGATTTTGAAGCATAAATATGAAAAAATAATGAAAAAAAAAATTGAAAACAAATTATTAACCAAGGCTACATTGGAAACCCAGCATGGAAAAGACAGGATTTTAGCACAACATAAATTGGAGGTGAAAGTAGCCTCTGCAGAAAGATTTCTTTTTGAAAAGCAAACCACCAGAGAACAAGAAGTCCTAATAATAGTAAAGGTGAAGCTATTAACATACCACATACTGCTCTTGAAAAAATATATACAAAAGAAAATCCATATTCCACGCTAAACTAGGAATCATAACTCACCCATTTTCTCCAGGAGATAACATAATGCGCCAATCACTGATACAATACCGGTACAATGATCGGAATTCAACTTCCCGTCCTTCTTAGCAGCCTACACAATCATCCCCACGAAAATTACATTAGACTTCAAAAAGTAAGATTCTTTTTTTTTTTTTTTAGCAATTTAAAAGATGGAATAGAAATACCTGAATGAGATTGGGGAAATTGTCGAAAAGTGCAGAGAAAACAGAGGACGGAGATAAGCCAGTGGAGGCAAGAAGGCAATCCAACATGGGTGGAACAGCTGCCGGAGGAACTTCCCGGAAGCCATGTGAAAGTGAAGAGACGAGAGAAGCCATTGAATCCGTCATCTTCACAAGAGGTGCAGAGGAAGTGAAAGAAACTCTCTCCCGCCCTCCACCCTCCAGTTTCTGCTGAAACGGCTCTCGTAAACCCCACCGCCTTTATATAAACCCTAAATTTTTTCCTTTTTTATTATTATTATTTTTTTTTACAGAGGTAATGACTGGCAAATTAGAATAAATTAATTGTTAACAATAGTTAACAATTGAAATTTTCAGAATGATAAATATTCCATCGGCTCATTTAAGAGTACGACTATTAGATCACAAGTTGATGGAGTTGATGCCATTAACAGGGCTGAAACCTGAACTCCGGCCGCCTCACCAAGCCATAAGGCTTAGGGCGAACCATTGTATCTTAGACTCGGTTCTTTTACGGTAATACCTGACTAATTCAGAATTCAACCAAATCAGATCCATTAGAAATAGCTTTTCACCATTTATTTATTTATTTACGGTACTCAAACTCAATAACAAATTTATTTAAGGAAATCCAACTGTTCTACTAAGACCAACAGCTAGTTGATTTATATAAACCCTAGATGCTAGAGCTGTTTTTCTTTTAATTTTT